CCGTGCCCAGAGGCACGGTGGCGGATCTACATAACCATGAGAATATGGTGATCATGGTTCTGACGGATCGCATCGCATTTCCGAGCTCCAATGGGGGAGCCGCCTCGGGGTATTTCAAGTTGTTTTTGGTTGGAATCGTGGGGGATGGCAGTGACTCGGGTTAGCGGTCGGTGGATTGGGCGAGGAGGCAAATATTATCCAGGAGCAGCGATGACCCCATCCCCGACGGGGAAAAATGCGGTTGGACAAGGAATCGCGATTGACCATTTCCTGCCAAGCAGGAAGGGGGGGGGAGCTAGGAGACCCCATGCGAGAAGTTGTCCAGGTCGGTTTCGGCGAAGCCATCATCGTTATTTCGGGCCTTGAGGTGCCGCCTGCGAGGCGGTCCGGTCGGTCTCGCCTGAGACATCCCTGCAAGTGCGGGCTTCGAGATGCCGCGCGAGAGATAGTCCAGCCCATTCCGCTTAGACATCCTCGCCGCTGTCTTGAGGCGGTCCAGCCCTTTTGGCCTGAGACATCCTCGCAGTTGTGGGCTTCGATGCACGCGATAGGACCATCCAGCTTCCCGCCACACACTCGCAACTCAGGGCCCATGGATGCCCTGACCTGAGCTGGTCCAGCCACTTTCGCTTCACACTTCGTCACAACTCTGGGTTTGGATATGACCTGGCCTGAGGTCGTCCAGCCATCTTCGCCCGATGCATCCTCGTTATTCTGGGTTAGTCGATGCTCTTGCCACACGGTATGTTTCCTCGTTGTTCTGGGTTTGCAGCTGCCGTGGACTGATCGTTTCGCTTGAGATCTCCTTGCAACTCTGGGTTTATGTACTTATGTCCTCATCTCACGTGGTCCCTGTCCTTTTCGCCTGGGACATCGTCGGGATTGTGTTTTCGGGGATGCCCACACCTGAGGTGGTTCAACCAATTTCGCCCGAGATCTCCCTTTTCTGGGCTCAGAGATGTCCCGTCAATGCTGTCGCCGATGACCCATTCGACAATTTGTGTCACTTGTCGGATGTACACTCGAGGAGACTGGAACCCTCCTTGTTGCCAGACTCGTGGAGACTGGAACCCTTCTTGTTGCCAGACTCGGGGTTGCCAGACTCGGGGAGACTAGACCCCTCCGTGTTGCCAGTGGCAAATATGTTAATCGGGGTCACTTGTGGGCATTGCATGAGGCGAGTTGCCCGTCCTCTGCCGATGGGATTTTGGGAGGAAGTGATTTCATACGCTAGTCACCCAAAGGGATGGGCGGATTTTCCTTGCCTTAGATGCTGTGTGGCACTTCGTCGGAGGGGGGGCCCGACGTTGCCCCATCAGCTAGACTACTGCTGCTGCACCGCGCCTTGCTTTTTCGGAAAAAATGAGGCCATTTCGCCTTCAAGGCCGGCGGGCTCGGAAGTCATGGGGCGTCGCGTCACGTTCGCGGGAGTGGTCAGTGATATGCCAGCACCAAGCCTGGCCAGGCCTTCCATAGGCTTTCGCCAGTGGTCCCTGAGAGGCCTGGCCAACTTAGGAGCTTCGATTCCTGGCCGATCTGACTCTTGGATTCCAGTTTTTGTCCGATCCGCCGTGCGCTATTGAGATGTATATCGATCCAATATGAGGACTCGAATGGTGAACCTCTTGCCTTCGGCGAGAGCCAACGCAAGTAAAACGAGGACGGTGCCGCTGGTGGAAACTCGGCGGAAAGTGGCGGAGGAACAGTGGGAGACTCCATGAGAGGTCAATGCTGGCTTCCCAAGAGTTTTCGGAGGTTGCCAGCTGTCGTCCGACCGTTTTCTCTGTCGTTTCCTTGATTCGTGCTGTGAACAAGCCCTGCGCCGAACTCGGTCGTCCAACTCACTGACGGTCAGGCTCATTCCACGCTCTCAGACGGCCCAAAAGGCCCCTAAGATCGTCCCAGGACCGCCTCAGACGTCCCCCAGAGGGTGCCAATGGAGCCCCTGGTGGCCCAAAGACGGCCCTCGAAGCGCCCCTGAGCGTCCGAAACGGCCCTGAGACGGACCAAGATAGCCCACAAAGCCCCCGACAGTTTCCAAGAACGCCCCCAACTGCTAGCAGCGGCGCTCAACACTCCCCAGGCGGCTTCCACGCGGCCCACATTTGCTTCCCAGACGTCCGAAGATGCTTCGAAGAGCACTGAGTGCCCGCGTGGCCAAGGAAGGCTCTTAGAGAGCTCCAACACCAGTGCAGGTTAAGTCACGCCAGAGAGTGCTCGCGTGATGATCATCATGGTAATGCTGTCGACGATTGTAGTGATTATGATGGTGAGGTGATGATACTGATTGTTTTGCTGCTCATGACGGTGATGATGTTGATGATTATTGCTATCCTTTGGGGCTCGCATCCTTCATGATGATCCATATTTGTGACCTCCACTGTACTGTTGTTTGGCCTCCGGGACGCTTATCGCCATCACTGGCCAGGACTCGCCCCAGGGAGTCGCTCGGGGCGGCGCCCGGGAGAAGTCTGGGGGGCCGAGGAGTCTGGAGGGTTGTATCCGCTAATTGATCTGGATGAATTTAAGCCCGGCAAATTAAAACCGGGTGAATTTAAACCGGGCGAATTAGAACCGGATGAATTCAAATAGGTGCGCGCGACAAGCGTTTTAAGCAATAGGGTTACTCACATTGTTTTCGCCTTCTTTGGTCAAGTGGTTGTTGCGATTTACCAAGCGTGGCACTAGGGCACCACGAGGGGATCCATCCGCCAGGGGCCACGGCCCGGCAGGATTCGCGTCAAGATTGTGTGTGGGCGGTGTTTCAGGCGATTCGCTTTTTTGCCCTTCCGCATTTCTGTTTTTCGGCATCTCTTCAGGAGGACGACGACGACGAGCAGAGATGAGGATGGAGGAGCAGGAGGACAAGGAGGAGGAGGAGGAGGAACGACCAGACGAACATGTGAGGCGACGACGACGATGATCGACGAAGATCGGCGACGACGATCGAGGAGGAAGAAGTATCGCAGATCATTTTCCCACATCTCTTTGCCTCGTTGTCTCTTTTTTGTGTCTCCTGGGAGACCCTCGTCGCCACCGCTGGATTCTCGTAGAAATTCGGGTCGGAACGCATCCCGGGAGTGGTTCGGGGAAGAGGGAGTAGCGGTGTTCGTTTCCCCAGACCACGACGACGACGATCGACGAGGAGGGGGGCCGCCCTCGCCGTCGCCTCCCTCGTCGCTGCCGTCGCCGTGGTCGTTCCACTTCGGTCTCGTGCTGTCGATCGGGAGATCGACAGTGAGAACGATCGTGAGATCAATCATGCAATTGATACTGATATTAATCCGAATTTGCCGCGTTGGTGTTCTCATCCTGTCCTTTACGTTGGTGGCATCATCTCATGTTTGATTGTCGATAAAGCGCTTGCGCATGATGCCGAAATGATCCATACTTCTTGACGCTTCGACTATCCCCACCAGCCAATTCGGGAGTGATACCTGGTCGGAATGCCTTGATCAAGGATGTGTTGGACCAAGCACAGAGAGAAATATGGGGAAAGCGCCAATCCGACACTCGGGGTCAGTCCGAACAGACCCAGGAGTCAACCGAAAATGTCTTCGCGGATCTGGCAATAGGAGGCTCATGGAAGCTTGGTTGGACCATCGTGGGGCTCTCTTGTGGCAATGTTCGATGCTTTTGGGAGCTCTCTCGCGGCCCTTTTCGGGCTCTCTTGGGACCCTCTTGGGGCCCGCTTGGGGACCTTCGGGGACCTCCTGGCCCGATCCAGGACTCCATCGATCAAAAGGGGGTTCTGAATCAGCCTCGCCCCATCGGAGCCCGACAGATCGCCTCTTGGGTCTTCTTGGGATGCTATTGAGGCGCTCTTGGGCGCTCTTGGGGCTGGCTTGAAGTTCTTAAGTGCCTCCACCCCTTGGGGCAATCTTGAGGCCAAGAAGCCAGTAGAGAACGAAATGGCGAGAAGGCACAACTCACTGAGCAACCTTGTGTTTTAAATGAGTTTGGCCTCTCGGGGATATTGGCCGGGCGGTCCAAGGCCATCCTAATCAGGCTTTGTGCCGTCTTGGCGCCTCCTGGAGGGCTGATGGAGGCCATCTCGAGCCCACTGGGACCATTTTGCGTCATCTTGGAGGACGTTTTAAGGCGCCTGGAGCCATCTTGGAATCATCTGTGCCCAAGAGCCTCCCAGCAATGCCCTCGAAACGCTCAGATCCATCAGACTCTTCTAGATGGATTACTGGTTTGAGGGTTGCGCGAGTGAGCAATCCATCATAAGCGAACCGGTGAGAAAGCATGCCTCCTTTTAGACCTTAGGTTTGTGAGATCGATTGCGAAGGGCTTACCGCCAGTTCCGCCGATCCGGAAGGCGGGACCTCTTTCAGGACCTCCGCCGGCGACCCCGCCGCCCCGGGACCTCCAGGGACCTCAGGGGGGCGGTATGCTGACCCAGCCCCTCCCCCCCCAATTCCCCCCCCATTCCCCCCCCCCCCGCAGGGAAGGAATAGAGGGAAGGGGCTTCCTTTCGACTCAACTGCGACGTTCCTTTTCCTGGTTCCTCGCTTTCCTTGGGACTGGCGGAGGCGACGACGACGACGACGACGACGACAACGACGACAAGGACGACGACGACGACGACGACGACGACGACGCCAGCGTCCTCCACACGCCGAAGGGTCGGCGGATTTTGACATATCGGGGGGCGATCTTCGGATGCTTCGAGGCCACTTCGAGCCGTCTTGAGGCCTCTTGGAGGCATGTCGGAGGCACCGTTGAGCCATCTTGTGTTATGTTGTTCCACCCTGCAGGTCATTTCGGACTATTTGGGCCCTCTTGGAGCCATCTTGTGCGAACAACAGCCTTCTGACACCTCGCGAAACCCTGTTCCCGACCCCAGGGGAGGGGGAAACCGCGAGGGGCCTGAAGGGGGTTGGAACCAACTCGCTAGACCACTTGCGCCCACAGAGCTGATGGGATTATCCTTGAGAAGATATTGTCGATGGTTCGGCGTTGAGGGGGCCAGCAATAGCCTGTCTGCTATGCAGGACTTGGTGGTGCTGCGGCTGATGAAGCTGCCCACCATCCTCTTCCAGTGCATCGTTCAGCTGCTTTGAGGCCAGGCGTGCGGCGGCGGGGGGGGGAATCATACGCTGTACACTTGGCGTCCTGGTCACACGCAAAAGTGCATAGATGTTCAAGCTCATAGTGTTGATTTGAGCCTGCTTCGGGCCAGCAAGCTAGAGGCCACTCTGGATTTGTAGTTGTGTGTGTGTGACATGATGGTGCTTGCCTCGACACCCATCGACGGAGGCGTGTAACAGGATAAAGGGAGGGGTCCAGCCACGAGCCACAGCGGTTCCAGGCCAGAATTAAAGACATGGGAAGGGCTCCCACAACATACTTAAATGCGGGCCCCACACCGTACGTGATAGCACTGTGGAGGTGTAAGCTACGGTGCTATGCGGTGTCAACTATGCGGTGCAGTCTATGTGGTGGAAGCCATGCCCTGAAATCTATGTGGTGCAATCGATTTTCACCCATGATTTGACACATCCCATGCTTATGCAAACATCCCACCCACCCACCCGCAACTTGGTTTGCAAAACCTCTTAAGACCGTGACGCTGGGTACCAAATGGCACTTGGAAGCGACAGCGACGCCGACGCCGACGACGACAGCGACAACGACGACGACGCCGCCGACAACGACTACGACGACACCGACGACGTCTCCAACGACTTCAACGACGACGACGACGACGACGACGACACCGACGACGACGACGACGGCGACGCCGACGACGACGATGACAACGACGACGATGACGACGCCGACGACGACGACGACGACGTCAACGACGCCGACGACGACGTCAACGACGCCGACGACGACGACGACGACGGCGGCGACGACGACGATGCCGACGACGACGACGAAGACGACGACGACGCCGACGCCGACGACGACGACGAAGACGACGACGACGTCGCCAACGAAGACGACGACGAGGGAGGAGGGAGGACGACGGCGACAACGACGACAACGACGACAACGACGAGGATTTTGGATTGCGCTGCGGATGAAGCGTATGGCCTGTCAGCTAATGGCGGCGCTGCAGCTAGCAGAGGCAGTCAGCACAGTCAACTCGTGTGGCTGTGCTAAGAGGCGAAGCTCGCAAACTCTGCACGGGCACCTGAAGTCAAGTCAGACAGTAACTTCCTCCAACCAACTTGCCAAATCCCATGAATCCCACCCAGTCCCATAGTATTAACTACGCGCACAACTGGGTGCGAGGCAGCAATGTGGACGCAGAGCGTCTGGTACTAGGCGGCAAAGGATTGAAACTTTCAACCGTGGCCAGGAAGTGGCGGCGGCCAGGGTGGGCAATCCTGCACGGTTGCTCTCGGCGTAACCCTGGCAGCACCAGGACAACACGCTTCACAGAGATGTACTCGCTGACCTAACCCCTCCTCAAAACTACCAGCCACTCCCACTCCCATCCTTATCTGCAAGACAAAAGCAAGAAAGGCTGGTGGCTGGCGGGGGCTGCGGCGTGCAGCCGCATGGGCGCCTGGCTGGCGACGCGCGGACCGACGGACACTCGGGGGTTCGGTGCCACACGCAACGGGTGTGTGGTTAGCGACGGACTACGCTCACCGAGCCCCCTGCCGCTGCCCCCCACGGGCCAAGGCTTGAAGCTTGACAGTCGGGCGGTGACAGAAACGCGAGGGGGCGCACCTCTGTCCAGGTTGACGGTGGAGAGAGAGCAGGCGAGCGGGCGGCAAGCAGGCGGCGGCGGAAAGAAGCAAGAGAGGCAGGCACATGCCTCTCTGAACTCAGCACGTCCGCCCAACATGACATACCCCTCCCCCTCCCGAATACATGTTGCGATCTCCTCGACCGCTGTCAGCTCTCAAAACAGCTGCACTCAACGACTTTACCTCGGCGAGCGCCGCTGTGGGGCGGGGGCTTCGCGAGTTCCTTTCGGAGCGCCCACTATGGCCCCCTCCCCTCACGGTTCGACCCTCGGTTCGGCCGACCACGCTGACGCTCGAGCTGGCGACAGTTGCGCACGTCAACTGCTTTCAGTGAAACCTGTTACGCACTGTCTGAAAATTATTATCAGAGAGAGAGTGGGCAAGAGGGCGGGACAGCACATGCAGGCAGGCGTGCACACAAGAGAGCAAGAGAGGCGGGATGCCGCTCTCTCTGACTGTTGCTACACTGCCTCGCTGCTAAAACCTCCGCTGCCCGACCTACCAATCCCATCACCCAGCGTTCCCTCCATGCTACAAAAATCACCTGAAACTGCTGCAATCGGATACTCCTGGAAACTGAAGGTGGCCGAAAGACACACATCCATGGTCCAGGAGAGGCTGTCTGCAGCAAAACTGATCCACACGAAAGTTAGGCCTACTGTGGCGCAACTCTGGAGGTCAGACGGCTATGGAATGCAAGCTCATTTAGCGGACGTGATTCCAGCTCAGCTCGAAACTGACGGATGAGCTGGGGGTTATCTGTATACCACCACGGGGCTATCCAAACGAGGAGGGCACGCATTAACCATAGCACCAGCCACAAGGCAAGGTCTTCGCAAAGCTCGAAACACTGGCAACATAGGCGGAGAGATCAGAGCACGGCCGCACAAGCACCCCACTGTCAGCCTGCTAGCCTGTCACCTCCCAAGACGGTGGTCCACCCAAGTGCCGTGTGCGTGGCGCGGGTGTCTGTGAGCTTCTAGTAAGGTGAGATACAAGAGGTAACGCAAGGCTCGAAAGACGAAACAGTTGTGAGAGCAAGGCCAGGGCTGACAAAGTGCCTGACTGAGAAAGCAATCCCTTGCCCATCCACTACCTACACCTGAGGCCCTCCGCCCAACATCCTATTTACTCGTGCGCATTATCAAACAGCCCTACCCCGAAACCGGGTTGGAAAGTCCATGGGGCTATTCGCTGAGCGAGTCGAATCCGACGTCGCTCTCTAGCTTGCGCACGCTTGGCAGCAATTAGGGTACGCAATTCTGGTGTGAGCTCAACGGGCTGTGGGGGCGGCGGGGGACACGGAGATGGGGAAACGGGTGCAAGGGGCGGTGCAAGCGAGCCAGGTGATGGCAACTCAATGCCATCCAGGAAAGCAAGCACATCTGCATATTCCTGTTCCTCTGAGGCCTCGATCGGGCCGGGGTCACGCGGCTCCGCAGTGGGATCATACACAACGCCTGCATCTGCAAACTCGGTGGCTGGCGATTCGGGGGGGAGGAACCTGTGGCGCTCTGGGTCGGCACGCACCTTCCGGGACCGAGAATCGACAAAATCGGGCGCCCAAGACTCGTCAGTGCCGAGATATGGGTCCCATGCTACATAAAAGGCTGACAGGGACCCACGAAACTCCTCCTCCTCCTCCCTCATGTCCTCTGGCAGTGTATCGTCGTCACACGTCACGCACATATGGTTGATCGCGTCTGTGATACCGTCGGCCAATACTCGACATAGAGCGGGAGGGTATGTCTTCTTCTTGGCAGTACGCCACTCGTCTCGGGCCCGATCGAACCCCTTGAGTACCTCGTGGGCCCCCCGTCCGTGAGAACATCTTCCACGACCTGGGGTCTCCAGAAGCCTACCAGAACGGGTTTCCATCCGCAGCGCCAGAATGCGGGTGGGAGCTCGAGCAACCTGGCCGTGTTCGCATTGGTCGAAGTCTGTCACGGTCGCGGTTGGGGAGGCCATGATGGCCCGTAGGGGGGGGGGGGAGGGGGGGAAAGAAAGAACTTACAGCTGCCTGTCTCCAGTCGGCTGGCATGGGATGCTCCATCCAGCAGCAAGTGCCCGCAATCAAATGTTCGGCGAAAAGCTCAATCATGGCTCCAAGGAGCTCATTGCCCACACGTAACTGTTCCATCTGGCGCGGCGTAACCGATAGCAGGCCCTAGAAATCGTCGTGGGAACGTAGTGGTGGGGGGCCCTTGTCAAGGGCCCAGCGTATGGCAGCCCATGTTTCGCACGGGGGCCCTCCTCCTGACAGCGCAACACGTTTGGCCCGAATGTGTTCCTTCCAAATGTCTAGGGATTCACGACGCATCATATTGCCAAGAACGGGATCGATAGCGATATCGATCGAAAGTACATATACTGCGAAATCGGTATGGTACTCCTCCATTTCTAAGCAAGCCTGAATATCCCCAGGACGGCGTCTCCCACAGTATAGGTTTAGTATGTAGTACTCTGACCGTCGGATCGCTGACGGCAGAACCTGAGCAGCTGCATGTGTATACTGCTCGGTCAGAAACATACGCGTCGGATACCGCTCCGTCTGTACTGGCGGGTACTGGGCGGGTGGGGGAGCGCCTAGGAGTGGGACAGGGGAAGGTGGCATGAGTACCGCGCAGGCGGCAGGTGTGAGGTAGGGGTCCGATTCAAGTAAAACCTGGCGGGCGTACTCCTGTGTAACCAACGTCGCTAGGTCGGTAGCCAGTTGAGTGAGCGGCCCAAGTAGCCGCGTCGTGGGTACGATCGCATGTCGGCGGGGAATCTTGATGTGGGGTGTAGCTCCGATTGGTCGAGGTGGTGTAGTCGTGTCGTCTAGGTGGTGTGCTGGGTTGTCTGTAGTTAAGAGGCCGCCCAGCAGGCATCGAGGGGAATCACTCGACAGGTGGTCGATGAGGTGGGGTCTGGCGTTGAACTTTCACAGACACACTGCACATGAACCGTCCCTAGCAGCATAACCGCGCGCAAGTGTCGCAATCTGTCGGTGTATACGGGCGACATGTGTGCGCATCGCTCGATGTCGTGCGAAAACCTCACCGCACCATGGGCGCTCCATGGTAGCTGCCTGCACGGGAGACGGTGGTGGGACGATTAGCCCGTGCTCGTCGGTATACACACGTTCTGGCACACCTGCTGGCCTCACAGCTGCAAAAAACTGGGGTTCCATATGGGGGGCAAGCTCTTTCCTGGAAATGTACTGGGTGTACGCGTTCATCGCCACTTGTATGATGCGCTTCCAGGCTGTCTGACTTCGTCGTATGAAGGTTTCCCAGGGTTTGATGTCTTCAGCTGGGGCTGGTAGGTCCTGGCACTGTTTGACGGCGCATCGTAGCCAGGCAAGGTCCTGGATCC